GCACAGTCTCAAGTCCTCCAGCAGGGGGCAGTGCACACCTGCAGTCCTCCCCAGTCCAGCTGGGATTTGAACCCGTGATCCCAGAGGAGCTGAGCCCTGGGCTGGGAAGGGGTGCAGCCAGGCCTAATGTAGTGCCTTGTTTCCCCCCCTCTGCCAGGACATCCTGGAAGGCGGGAATCTGTGGACGGCGCTGCAGGAGCTGCAGCAGATCATCGCGACACCCATCAAAGCCTACAGCTCCCTGCAGGCCTTGCCCGCACCCAAGGAGGCCGGGCCCGAGCGCCTCGGGGGTCCCCCCAAGCCCAGCCTGGACAAGCCTGGCGGTGGGGCCGAGGACAAGGCCCCCCTGGGCGACAGCTTCCAGGCCCAGCCCCCTGCGCCGGGCGATGGCGAGTCAGCCACCGCCCCCATCTCTGAGGGCGACATCCCGGGGCAGTTCACGCGAGTCATGGGCAAAGGTGAGAGGGCGTGGCGCGCATTGGGAGTTTACGGGGAGTTTGTGGGGGACGGGGGGCATTTGTAGCAGAGCCTTGGGGCAATTGGGGGACTAGTCCAGTCCCATTGAAAACCATTTTGGTTCCTTGCCTGCACTGGTCTGTACTGGGAGGCTGCCCAAATGGTTTAGGGCTCTGCTGATCTCCTTTCAGGGCTGGCAGGGTGGGGGCAGCACCTGATCCAGACCCCGGGAGTAGGTGATGCCCAATCCCACCCAGCGAAGAGAGAGTCGGGGGGGCGGGGGCTGGGAGCCGGGATGCCTGACTCCATCCCAGCTCTGGGAGGAGAGAGTGGGGTCTAATGGGGAAGGGGATGGGACCGGGCAGGACTCCTGAGTTCTCACAGCCGTGCCCCCCCGCAGTGTGCACCCAGCTGCTGGTGTCGCGGCCGGACGAGGAGAACATCACCAGTTACCTCCAGCTCATCGAGAAGTGCCTGACGCACGAGGTGTGTATGGCGGGGCCGAGACGCCTGGGTTCTCCGGGGGGGTGGGTGGGGTGCGGAGCCGGGACGCCTGGGTTCTCCTGACCCCC